TTAACCTCTCTGAGTATCAGTCTCCACATCAGTAAAATGGGGGTAATATGAATTAGGTGAAACTATGCATGTAAAGCATTTTGCACAATACCTGGCTTGCACTGACAGGACAATTACTTCTCACTATCTCCTAGTGTTTCTAATGAGATGAGGTGCTCAGAAAACAGTTGTGATTTAAAGTGAGGTTGGCTTCTTCAGTACCAACTCTCAAACATGTCTTGGGGGATGAGAGGCCGGGGTACTCCTAGGTCTACGCTGGGACTCTTGGTGTGGACAGAGGCCAAGGAGAGCAGTCCTGGCCAAAGCCATTTTCACCAGCTTGAGGATAGTGACCAAGACCAGTTTTTGAGTTCCACCTGGAATAATCCTTTGGGCCAGTCCCTTGCCTCCACGCTTCCTGCTGAGACAGGACAGGAAGTTTTCAGGTTTAGTCATACTTCAGGCAAATCCTGGGATTCATTCATTTATTCACTTACTCATTCCACAAGCATTTCTTAAGCACCTAGTATGTGCCATGCACTGTGCCACAAACAGGACAGTCTCTGTCTTGCAGTTTATTAGAGGAGATGGACATTAAACAAATAATTACACAAATAATTATATTTTGTAATTGTGATAAGTGCTAGAGTCTTAAATAACTGAACTTCCTCTTGGCACCTCTTAGTCCGAAATATTCTCTGACACACCAATTCACGCCTTGAGAAAAGGAAGCAGAGAACCAAGGTCCCAGGATGAAATGTTCAAATGACATCCACAAATCTTGCGATCGTGTATTAAAATTAGCATGGTGCCTACCAGCCATGTGGTCAGCACACATTGGAAGTTGCCTATTGTCATTATCTTTATTTGCTTTTGGAGGTCACCCAGACTCTACTGACATTTTCTTGCAGAGCCCATCTTTAGTTCTTCCTTGGGAAATAAGTGCAGAAAGCTAGACTTCTGAATCATGGTCTTCAGGCTCAGGAAAAGGAACTGGAGGGCAGGAAAGGCCATGTGATGTGTTTTTGGAGCAACCTCCCTTCATTTGGGCGGAGGAGGGCCTTCAGCTCCCTGCGGGGCTGCATTGGCACCCCTGGCACTGATTAGTTGTTAGAGTTCAAGGCCTTTAACGTTCCTCATACTGTTTGAAGAAGCTACAGTTAGCATCTCCCAAGCAGCTCAGCAGAACTTGGTTGCTAGGCAGCAGGCCTTTAAAGACAATTTGTCAATTTCTGCCAAAAGAGAGAAAAATAGTAAACATTCACATTCTAAGAAAATTGCTTGTTTTCCAGCTTCCAACTTTCTTGCCACAACAAGGCTTCCCGTTCATCAGTGTCCATTTTGTTCTGTATTTAGTTTATGTAAACCATTCAGGGAAGTTTTCGGAGAATAATTAAGCCTTTTCCAAGCCTAACCCCTGGCAATTCAAAACAAAAAGATGTTTAGGTTACAGTCAGACTGCCATGTTTGTGGCAGTTTTTATATACATGCACAGAGGCTCCTTTGGAAGGTACAAAGTATGCAGCTGCCCAGCTGTAGCCTTGGGCAGCCACCAAGGAAGGTGGTGGCTGATCCATGGAGGGATCTTGAGTCATTCAGCATTTGTTAGCACCTAGCATGTGCCAGGCGCTGTGTGTACTGCTGGGTTCCAACCTTGTGGCCCAGCCAGACCTCACTGAGCTCATACTTGCTAATGGGGAAGACACAGCAAGAAATCAGGAGATTCTAATACAGGGCCTCTAGAAGTTCAGACAACGCCCCAAACCCAGCCTGGGATTGGGGAAGGCTTTTCAGAGCAAATGTGGGCTGGACTGAGACTTGAAAGATGAAGCATGCCAGACCCACTCTGACAAGGGAGGACAGTGTCTCAGGCAGGGTCCTCCTGTGTACAAAGGGTAAAAGGTGCCTGGGAGATGGCAAGTGCATCCATGTGGCCACAGGGGGTGGTTGGCCCTGCAGTTCAGCCTGACCACAATAGGAGGACAGTGAAGAGCCTCTGGAGGGCCTGGAACTTGCAAAGGCCACCGTCAGATTTGCATATTCCCCTTGGGGAAACCACCTGATTTGCCTTCAAGTTAACTCAAGGGCATCGGGCAGTGAGCACCACAGAGGCTGTGGAAAGTGCTGGACGTAGACCTTGGGCAGGTTAGTTTACTAACCCGAGTCCCAGATTTTTCAACTGTAAGAGAGGATGCTGGTAGTACCTTCCTTGCAGAGTTGGTGTAGGGACTAATGATAGATCAACTCAAGAACAGTCCTTAGACCGTTCCTCTGCACCCTGTGCTCTCTAGGTATTGGCTGACACCATTATGATGGTGCTGCCCTTCCTGTGCTTCCATGAGTCCTGCCTGAAAGAATAGTGTCCAGTCTGCCACCTGGTCTCTGAGTGACCCAGGACAAAACTTGGAACTCTCTTGGTACCAGATTCTTCTGTCTTTCCTGAATCTCCCTGACTGCAGTGTGAAGGGCTCTCCAGTTGAGCCCAGGATCACTTTGTTCTCTGAGTTGTCAGTGCCAAGCCTGGTCCTAGTCAAGACCACCTCTTCCCAGCTGGCGTGGTGTGGCGCTCTGGTCTCTCTTACTCCAGCTTGTGCTGAGTGCTCCTCAGGCTTCAAGCCTGGAAGAACAGAGGCTGCCTGTTGCTCAGAGGCCCTCATTCAGATCCATGTGGTTGGGGATTTCGGCTTTGAGTGTCTCCACAAGGTAGCTCACCCTTTTACGAGTGTTCAAAAATCACTGCCAGGAGCCAGGTAGGGACCTCAGACTCATGAGATAATTCCCCGGGGAGGTCCTTGTGTTCAGTGCCAGGCACTGAGAGTATAGCCCACACAGGACAGGTGTGGCAGGGGGGATGACAAGAAAGAAGCAACATGAATAAAACAGGTAATTGTCAGGAGTGTAAGTGCGGGGACGAACGTGAGGCTGGGGGAGGGGATGGAAAGTGGCTCAGTCGGGCAGTCAGTGCTTTATCTGAGTTGGTGATCAGGAACCCCCAGGAGGTGACTGTAAGTAACAGCCCAGAGTGAGGAAACAGCAAGAGATTTCTAACCTATTCATGTCTCTTTAGAGGGCACACAATGGCACTGGGCTCTTGTAGGGTTGATTTCTGGGACAGGATGATGGGCTGTCCCAAGTGGGTGGTTCCCTGTGGCATTGGCACAACAGGGCTTGGGATGTTTCACCACTTGGCTTGCTTGGGTCGGGAGAATTTTGAGGCAGCCGTGAGTCACTTTGGGGTCAGTGCCAGGTCCTGTGCCGGGGCCCACAGGGAAATAACCCATCCTCAGCCCTACTGGGCTGGGCATTCTCCAGAGGCATCAGCTGGGAGAGGCCTCAGCCAGCAAAGGGAGGGTTGCTGAAGGGTGCCATAAAAACACCCGTGCCTGAGTCTGTGCACTGGGCTGGGCATTCTCCAGAGGCATCAGCTGGGAGAGGCCTCAGCCAGCAAAGGGAGGGTCGCTGAAGGGTGCCATAAAAACACCCGTGCCTGAGTCTGTGCTCTTGTTTAGTTGTTTTACTGCTTGCTAATAAGATATGCAAATTATCAGAGCTGTGAAATCTTAGCCACATTCCATCTTCTGTTTAATTAGCATTTAATCGTAATCTGATTTTAATTTTTTCACACTAGCACCCTAATTAAATGTTAGGGTGTTAGTCTTTACAATTAAATTATATTGGCAAATAGAGTCTTCAAGAAACTTGACCTTTTTCAAGCCAGGGCCCTCTCTAGCTAGATGCAGACGTTAATTAGATTCTTCAAGATGCTGCTTTCAGGCCCCTTAGTGCACCCATTTCAGTTTTTTCATTATGGTTATGGCCCTAGATTAAAATGAGGCACACACAGCCAGTGAGTGGGCCCCCAGCAGGCAGAGGTTGTCTGGGAAGGGGTTTGTTGTGAGCCTCTGGAAAGCCACTGAGCTGACTAAGCCTCGGGCACAGCAGTGGGTGCTGACTTTTCTAGGGGTAGATCTGGAGTCTGGGCTGAGGCTTGGAATACTCCTTGAAGTGGTTTATCTTGTCTTAGTGATGTGAGTTCTTTAACTTGTGATTCTCAAGTGATGACCACCAGGAAAGTTGGTACCTGAGCAAGTCACGTGGTGCCTAGAAGCACCACCACATCCCACAGCAACGCTTTGTTGGGGGCCACCGTGAGATCAGGTAACTGGGGCAGAAGGCATTGCCATTGCTGGCTGGGGCTGGGTTTGGAGATTGTTCTGGAGTTGGGAAGAGCAGTTTCCCCCTGAGCGAGCAGGTGCTCAGAAGAAAATCAAAAGCAGCAGGGTGTGACCACTCATGGCTGGCTCAAAAGGAATTTGGATGGGCTTGATTAAGAAGGAAGACAACCCTGTCCTCTTCCCACCCCATCACACACAGGGTGGTAATGGGGTTACCATGGCAGGTTAGCCCCTGCCCAGTTAGGAGACATAGTGTCCTTGTTCTCGAGGGACCCTGGAGGACCTGACTCAGGCAAAGCCACTCTCTAGGCTGCCTTAAGCCCCAGACTCTTTCTCGGCTATTTGCATAAAGGTCCTGGCCTTTTGTTTTCCTGGGGTTGGTGCCCTGTGCTATTTTATACCTCTTGTGCCTGTGGGTGCAAGTATATAACATAATTTTAAACCTTCAGTGGAAATTCCCTGAACAATCACATAATAGCATTCACAGAAACCTTTCTGCCCTGTGATTTTTTTCCTTTCTTTTTTTTCCCCCCTTTCTCTGCAAGACTTTTCCCTCCTGTTTTAGGTCCACTTCCATCTATTACTCAAACTTTGTCCTTTAATAGGTCAGAACAATGAGAATTCTAACTGTCACCCTTATGGAATATCTGTGGTGTATAATGCATGTGCTAGGTTCAGAGAAGATGTGTTGCTCATTGTACTTACTGCTTTTGTATTGTCTTCTTATTTGTAAGTGAGCAGCCAGAAAGCCCACTTGAGTTGCATTTATTTGCTTCTTCCCCTCCCCTGTGGAGCAGACTGTCTGAGGCCACCTGAAGCCACTCTTTCCCCTCTTGCTCCTGACAGGTTTTCCGGACAGATTTGATCACAGCCATGAAGATCCCAGACTCATACCAGCTCAGCCCAGATGACTACTATATCCTGGCAGATCCGTGGCGACAGGAGTGGGAGAAAGGGGTGCAGGTGCCCGCTGGGGCGGAGGCCATCCCAGAGCCCGTGGTGAGGTGAGCCAGGCCACCCAGGCTAGGCCAACGGGGCAGGGAGGAAGTAGAGGCTGCTTTCCAGGCAACGGACCTACCAGTCCTGGAATTCCTTTCTAGCCTGTCTCTACTCTGTTTTTTTTTTTTTTTTTTAAAAATGACCGGTAAGGGGATCTTAACCCTTGGCTTGGTGTTGTCAGCACCATGCTCAGCCAGTGAGCAAACCGGCCATCCCTACATAGGATCCGAACCTGTGGCCTTGGTGTTATCAGCACCGCACTCTCCCGAGTGAGCCACGGGCCGGCCCTGTCTACTCTATTTGATTATCTTGTCTGGTAAACCATTGAAATGTTCCAGAAATACTGTCAGTTTACCTTTGAAGCTAAGCGCTTGGGCTCAGGCTTGGCTCTGGAGCCAGACTACCTGGTTTCATATGGCCACTCACATTCAGCATGACCTTGGGCCAGAAATGTAATCTCTCTGGGCCTCAGTTTCCTTGTCTGTGTAATGGGAGTGATAACAATGACACCTACAAGGTTGAGATGATATAGTGAAAAGATGAAAAGACACTTGGCACAGGACCTGGCATACAGCAAGCTCTCTGTAAAAGGTGGCCTTGGATCAGACTGATGTCATTCCCAACCGGGTCTCACAGAAGAACTGATCAGGGAAATGCCCAGACTTAACTAGTCCTCAAGACAGGGATAAGCCAAGCTCTTGACTTCTTGAACTATGTAAGGCAGGGCTGGCTGGTTAGAGTATGGTATTATAACACCAAGGTCACAGGGTTCGGATCCTTATACCAGCCAGCTGCCAAAAAAACTATGTAAGGCAGGGCTGGCTGGTTAGAGTATGGTATTATAACACCAAGGTCACAGGGTTTGGATCCTTATACCAGCCAGCTGCCAACACCAAGGTCACAGGGTTCGGATCCTTATACCAGCCAGCTGCCAAAAAAAAAAAAAATAAAGGAGTTCTTGGGGTGAGGGGAGAGTCAAGTGCCTGGCACACAGGAGATGGTCAGGAAGCAATTGCTGTTACCAGCCTCTGGGGAGTCCCCCTTGCCAGGGCTGGGTCAAAGATGAGGCCTCTCTGGGCTAAATAGCCTTCTGGTCAGGCTGGCTGGTTAGTTTAGTTGGTAGAGCGTGGTGCTCATAACACAAAGGTCTGGGGTTTGATCCCTGTACTGGCCAGCCATCCCCCCCAAAAAATATCATAGCTTTCTGGTCTATGGGTCAGAGAGACCCCTGGGTGTTCTAGTCAGCAGATAGCCACATGGCCAGGGGTCTTGCCTTAGCTACCGAGTTCAGTCAAGCGCTCCTGCACCCTGGGAAGCCTTTCAAGTCATGTATCAGGATAGAAGGATCTGCTGTCTTGGCCTTCCCCGCCCACCCACCTGCCTGGGCTAGACAGTCTGGGTTATTAAAAGTTCACCCCCAGCCTTGGCCGCCCCATAGCTCTCACTTCGGCCCATGTAGACTAGACCTGGGGCAAAGATCGCAGCCGTCAACTCCCTTGACGTTGGCACCATCGCATCCTGGCAGCTGCACCTATGACTGGCTCACAGACACCAAGTGCGTGCCCAGTGCCAGCCCTGTGCTGGGCTCAAGTGCTCTCTGGGGACTAGACTCATGAGGGCTAAGTGCCTACTAATGCCTGTCTGGGGCCCTCTGAGAATCAGAAGAGCCCAGGCCTCTCCAGAAGGAGCATATACAAGATTTGAGAATGCATTTATTCTCCACATCCCCTGCTCAGGGCCAGAAACATGGGTCAAGCTCCTAGCAGTTTCACACCTTCACCTCAGCAGACTGAAGAACTGTTACCTCTCTGAGCCTATTACCTGCTCTAAAAAATGGGGGTAATACCAGTTCCTGCCTGGTGGTGTGGTGATGAGGATAAAGTGAGAATAAGCAGGCCAGGTTACCACCACACGTGTGGTGCCAGGCCCAGGGCGACGGGGAGAGAGGCAGGCCACCACCTGACCAGAGAGAGGTGAATCCTGATTAGGCTTGGCCCAGCAGTCTATCCTCCCTACTTGATGTCAGGTGGTTCCGGAAACATCCACCGGCCTAGGTAATTAATTGCACATGCTTCCACACCAGTAGCTTGGCTTCAGTCTGCCTGTGGGTTGCTTTATCTGTTGACATCAAGAGGAGAGCACGTGCTCTGGCTGCTTTGGCTTTACTAGGTACATTCCCAGCATACGCATGGCTGCGCTAAGCTGACATGAGCCAGGCGCTCCTGGCCTGTCTATGCTCTTTGGAGAGGATAGACTGGGGGTGGGGAAAGTGCTCTCACGGAGAGCTCCATGCCCTCCCTTCCCTAGCTCCCTCCAACTCAGCTCCTCCATCTTCCTGGGCTTCTCCCACTGCACGGACCTCATCTGGAAGCCTGCACGGCAGCCCCTGTGGTCAGAATTGTTAGGGGGACTTGGCTTGCTGAGTTGAGCCTGTTATGTTCATCTTCTTATTTAATTATCATATTAACCCCATAAACTACACATTACTGTCCCTATTTTATAGATGAGGAAGTCGGGAAATTCTGGGGAATTCCCTGCACGGCCACCGGGCCCTAGTGGGCTGGGCCTGGAAATCACAGGCCACAGGATTAAGCCCTGGGCTGCCCCTGTGAGGCCCAGAGAGGGAGCCCAGTGCCCTGATCGCCCCATCATGCTGACTGACTCCACTCCCCCAACCATTACCCTGTTCCCCTCTGACCCTCCGCCCTGGCCCTTGGGCAGTTCTGCCCACCTCATGGTCTGAAGTCTCTGAGGAATGAGAACCTGTCTCACCCCAGCCTGGGAATCAAATGAGGGCCTGCCCTGTCCCCTCAGTGTGGCCAAGACTCAGCACGGGCAAAACCATCCTCTCTGGTGTCTGTTTTTTCTGGTCTTCTGCAATAGACACCCCTTCTCCTCTGTAGATCTCAGCCCAGCCGTCCACCTCCTCCTAGCTTATCTCAGTCCTCCTGCCTGCGGCTGAGGGTGAGGCCTTGGCCTACCGTTGGGTCAGGTTAGTACACTCCTGGTAGGAGAGCTTCCTCCACAGCCAGAGCCAGAAGAGGGCAGACAGATGAAGAGCCCTTGGAAGCACAGGAAATTCCTTTTCTAGTGAGTCCCTTAACCCCGGCTCCCCAGAGAGGATGGTGATTTTGGCCACAAGAGGCCTGGCCATATGGCAGCTGACTAGGCAAGCAGGTATGGTTAGTTACACCAGTAGGTGGTGGATGTGCAGACAAACGTTGCCCCCCAACCCCCAAAAATAAAATAGAATCAGACAAAGGTCCAATATCCCAAGTTTAGGGCACAGGCAAAGCCAGGTCACAACAAAATTGCAGAATTGCATTCTTTTAAAAGAATGTTAATCCAAATGACAGTTCCATGGGAAAAGACAGAATTTGGTGGATTGAGAGTATTAGCATCGCTTCATTGTCATTACCTAGGTCCTTCCTTCAGTGGGCCTCTAGTGTGAGAAAAGGGGGTGCCAAACCCATTCCCTTTCTCCTCGCCCCTCACCTTCTCTAGGCCTCCCTCCTGGCCTGGAGGTCATTCTCTCTCTGCTTGGGCTTCTGCCTCCCTGTCTCCTTCATCTGCCCTTCCTCCCTTGCTGACACCCAGAGCATTTCCTGGAACCCAGGACCCCTCCCCACAGCTCAGCCATGTCTCTGTGCCTTCAGTCTGCGCTGAGTCACAGCCCCTGGCAGCCCTGTCTCTGACCCCAGGAGGCCTCTTGGGCAAGTGAGGGGCCTCTCAACCCTGGCAGGGCTGTCCAGATGGAGGCCAAGCACCAAAGCAATAACCATGGCAACCGGTGGGGGGTGGGAAGAGCTGGCATTTTGAACTGGCATCAGGAACCAAGGGGCAGCACACAGCTGAGCTGAGGGAAAACGGTTCTCCCAAGGCAGAATGCCCCCTTATGTTCCTCTTCAGAACTCCTTCTGAAAAGGTGATATCCGGATGTCTCAAAATATACACACACAGTGCTTACTGTGTGCCAGGCACTTTTCTAAGAACTCTACATACATTAACCCATTTAATCATCTCAGCAATCTCACCAGCCATATAAGGTAGGTACTATCATCGTGAGCCCATTTTTGGGGTGAAGACACTGGGGGAAGGACAAGGTATGTGGGCAACACTGTGTCCCTGTGGCCATATACCTTTTGCCTAGAAAGTGTCACCCTGGGCTGCAAAAATGTAACTGGGTAGGACTCCTCCTGACCCCAGAGGATTCCTGGCCTCAGTTCTACTCAAGTCCATGGGATTTTCAGGCTATTGGGGAAGGAGGAGCCAGGGCCTGTGAAGGTAGGTGGACAATCCCTGGCCCCTTCCCAGCCTTGAGGGGAATGCCAAAGGACCAGGAGTCCAGCTGGCCCTATTCCACTGTTCAAAGGTGGCTGGTACAGGGCATTGCCCAGGACAGCACTTGGGACACCTCCTACAGGCCTAGGAAGGGCAGAGCAGGATCATGGGGCTTTAGCTAAGGCCTGACTACGCTGGTGAGAGGACAGAGGTATGTTCTGGGGAGGGAGGATGTTCATGGGGTAAGCAAGGGCTGTGGATCAGCCCCCACTCCCGTGCTCACCTCTGCCCCATTGCCCTTTGGGTCTTCTGTGTGCTATTTATCCACGGTCATCCAAGTCTGCAGCGTTGGGCAGATGGTGGAGGAAGATGTGGAAGTAGGGGGTGGAAGGTGGTTGTGCTTGGCATCAAAGTCTCACATCTGCCAACCAATGCACTGGATCCCCCTAGGCTGGCAGGCTCAAGGCTCCTCCCTTCATGACACCCCTTCTTGATTTCCTAGGATCCTCCCACTGCTGGAAGGCCCCCCTATCCAGGCGTCCCCGAGCAGCTCTGCACTTGGTGAGGGCTCCCAGCCTGATTGGCCAGAGGGCAGCCGCTATGACCTGGACGAGATTGATGCCTACTGGCTGGAGCTCATCAACTCAGAGCTCAAGGAGATGGGTAGGTGGTAACCCACTGCACTAAAAATGGGATCGGGGCAGGACAGAGAGAGTTTTCTTCCCAGCCCCAGCATCCTCACCCCCGAAGGACAGTGGCCAAGATCAGGCTTTGGTACTGCACAGACCTGGGGGGAAGAGTCCCTGCTGCATTACTCACTGGTGAGGTGATTTAATGTCTTGGTGCCTCCTGAAGTTTCTGCAGCTGTCAGGTGGGAGCAATAATAGCACATAATTTGCAGGGTTCTTGGGAATGTTGTAGTAAGCGTGGATGTTACATGAAAAGTAAGTGAACACACAAGTGAGTCTGGGATGACAGATGGTGCTGGGGTCAGTGAGTGTTGGCCTCCAGGCTGGAGCCCACCAACGTGTCCCAGGAAGGGCCAGCTCTGCTATATCTAGCCACCTTCAGAGGTTCCCCTACACACAGCACAGGCAATGGCTTCCCTGTAGAGCCTGCTGCATCCCAGAGACACTCCCCTGTGATCTGCACATACACAGGTGTCTGTGGTCACAGGCAGGCTGTCTAAAGTCAGAACACCATGATGGGTCAGGGGCCTTTGAGAGGGATGGTCCAGCCCATTCCATTTTCAAAGGACAGAGCTGAAGCCCGAGGAAGTATATACTTTTTCCCGAGGTCACACGAAATCCTCCCACACATCTGTCCTGAATTCATGCAGCCCCAGGAGCCAAGTCCTCTTCAGAGTTCAAAGGAGGCTGGGCTTCTAACACTCTCCTCTGCTGTCCTCCCCACAGAGAGGCCGGAGCTGGATGAGCTGACATTAGAGCGTGTGCTGGAGGAACTGGAGACTTTGTGCCACCAGAATATGGCACGGGCCATCGAGACGCAGGAGGGGCTGGGCATCGAGTACGATGAAGATGTCGTCTGTGATGTGTGCCGCTCTCCTGAGGGTGAGGATGGCAACGAGATGGTCTTCTGTGACAAGTGCAATGTCTGCGTGCACCAGGTGGGCAGCCCCCCCAGTCACCCTCACCATACTGTGGGGCTGGTCATCCTGTGTAGGAGCTTGGGGGCACTATGGGCAAGGCCCTTAAGAAGGAGGGCAAGGGGGGAAGAAGGGAGTGGTCAGGGCCCCTTAGCTCAGCCCTGTGAACCAGACTTGAGCAAACGCCCATTAGATGGTCTTTCCATGCTCTCCCCTGCCAGCCTGCTTCAGGCCCTCCTCACCAAACACCCTGTCCCCCTGCCCCTCATCCTGTACTCCTCATGTCCTGAACTTATAAAGAAGCAGCACAGTGTAGTGAATGAGAGCAAAGCCTGGAGCCAAATGACAGCTCTACCTTTTACAAGCTGTGTGACTCTGGGCAAATTTCTTAACCTCCCTGGGCCTCTGTTTCTTCAACTATAAGTAAAAGTAAGTTGTGAGGATAGAGATGTGTATTACAAATTACTTGCTTAGAACAGTATAGTAAGAGCTGTAAGTATCTGTTACCTCGTTGGTGTTATAAACCAGCTGCAGCCTGGTCAGGCCCCTCCTCTTGATCTTGTGCCTCAAGGATCTAGGTCTTGGGTATCTCTGGGCTTTGTTTGTAGAAGACCTGACTGCGACCCTTTGGACCCACTCTGGCCTTGACTTTGAGGCCGCCCTTACCCACTGCTGCAGAATAGAATAGCACCCGGGGAGCTCACAGGCAGGGCCTTCACCTGTCTGTCAGGTGGGTAGGCAATACACCCCTCCTATGTCCACATCCCTTGTACCCCGCAGCTCTGAGGTCCAAGAGTCTCTCCCAAGCCGTAGTCATGACCAGGAGGAACCCTGTTCACAGATCCCTGTGTAAAAGATGAAAGCTCTGAGCCTTGTGTACAAGAAGTATATACCCAATTTTATATTCAATTTAAGGGGATTCATGGACCCTCCTGAAGTCCATCTCCCTAGGAGCCTCTGGCTAAGGGTGGCTCTACTCCCAGCAGAGAGCAGACCTGAGGCCTTTCACAGAGGACTGAAATGGTGAGATTTCAGGCATACTGTGGCCTGAGGCAAAGAGATTTCCAGGAGCCCTTTGCATTATGACCCCTCAGGAGGTCTTCTTACCAAAGCTGGAGGCTGTACAGCAGTGCAGCTTGGAGCTGGGACTGGGACCATTTGCAGCTGACTGCTGACACATGCAGATTGGCCAATGCCCCTGACTCATGACCACCTCTCTTCCACCAGGCATGCTATGGAATCCTCAAGGTGCCCACGGGCAGCTGGCTGTGCCGGACGTGTGCCCTGGGTGTCCAGCCAAAGTGCCTGCTCTGCCCCAAGCGAGGAGGAGCCTTGAAGCCCACCAGAAGTGGGACCAAGTGGGTGCATGTCAGCTGTGCCCTGTGGATTCCTGAGGTGCGTAGGCATGGGGATGTGGCTACCCCAGGGAACAGCCCATCGGGAAGTGGGTTTGCGTGGAACTCAGGTAGCAGAGTACTGGGTAAAGAAGGGATCTCAGGTGATGGGCCTAGGAAGAGCCCAGGCAGTAGCCCCCAGGGAACTTTGCCTGTGGATTGGGCAGAGCTCAGGTGGTGGTTTCTAAGGAAAATGGGATTATGGGCCATTGAAGGATTCAGAAAGTAGGTCTTTCTAGGCTGAAGTCATACACCTAAAGATAGGGTAAAACAGGTGGTGGGGTCCATCTAACCTAGGCAGTGGTTCCAACAAAAGTCAACTGCATGTTTAAAACAAAAATAAACCAACTGACTTAAAAGAAAATCAGGTGGTAGACCTAATTGAAAGTTGGACTGTGGGCCGGCTGCTATGGCTACGGCTGGGATGGAGGGGTGGGCCTGTGTCTGAGGCCAGGTGGGAGGGGCCATGAGCAATAGGCTGGGTCCACAGGGAGTCAGCAGAGGCTCTGGGCTCCTGGAAGGCTGTTCATTTCCGTGAGATGCTGAAATTCACTGGAGTTTCAGCTCTAGCCCTGCTGTGTGCCCAGACCAAGGCTCCACTCTAAAGCCGTCTGTGCCCAGAAGCAAGCCAGGCGGCTCTGTCAGCAGGCAGTCCTCCCTTCCTGGGCTCATAGTCTGAAGGTCCCTGCTGGGGCCTATGTTGTAGGCTTCTGTGATGGTAGTTGTTTGTGTCATTGGCTCCCAGACCAGCATCTTGAAGTCTGGGACTACCTCTGAGTATATCCTGGCTGGTCACAGCAGAGACAGGACCAACAAGGGAACCCGTGGATAGGGGCCCTTCTTCCATCCTCAGGCATGGGTAGATGAGAGACATGTGCCCTGCCTCTGGGGCTGAGGGATGGGCTGTGTCCAGTAGACTTTGGCAGGGTCGTAGCCCTATCCCCATAGGAGGAATTAAGCAAAGGCACATCCCCATTGTCCAGGGGAGCCCTGAAGATCCCCAAGAGAGATGCTGCCACGAGGCCTTTTCTTGGTACCCAGAAAAATAAATAAAATAAATACAAGTTATAACAAGAACTCTGAAGATGCTATTAACAAAAGGCCTGAGGTGCTGAAGGAAGGGGGACCTTGCATGTACCCATGCACGTGCATGGGCATGCAATAAAATAAATACAAGTTATAACAAGAACTCTGAAGATGCTATTAACAAAAGGCCTGAGGTGCAGAAGGAAGGGGGACCTTGCATGTACCCATGCACGTGCATGGGCATGCAAACACACACACACACGCACACGCACGCATGCACACACACACACACATGCACACGCACCTCAGTCTCAAGGCCCACACACTCACCTAGTTAACTGCATGCACTGATGCACACTCTCACACTTTCACAAACAGTTCAAGATTAGTCACAGATGAGCATACACTGACACACTCACGTAGAGCTCAGTTTGGAAGAGTTAGAAGGGATGCGGGCCTTTGAACTCTGTTTGGAGTTAGGAAGGACTTGGGATTCAAGGGCTCAGCCACTGCCCTGTCTGCCCACTGCCTGGTTTCAGCAGACAGCCCCGATTTGGGGGATCCCTGGAGGCAGACTGGGGCAAGAGGCCTGATGCAGCTTCCTGTGTCCTGCCCAGGTCAGCATTGGCTGCCCAGAGAAGATGGAGCCCATCACCAAGATCTCACACATCCCAGCCAGCCGCTGGGCTCTGTCCTGCAGTCTCTGCAAGGAGTGCACAGGCACCTGCATCCAGGTATGTGGCCCACTTCACCCCCCTCCTTCCCGGGAACCAACTGCAGAGAGAGATGTGCCTGTGGCACCTTGAAAAACAGGCATGTGCCACCACCCTCCTCCTCTACCCATGGTGCTACAGGACAGAACCACTGATGGGTTGGGGAGGCATGGGGCTGGGACCACAGTCAGAACCCCACCTGGAGACAGCATTCCTTCATCCTCAGGTCTTCTAGGGAGTGGGAACAGGTCTGAAGAGCCAAGGTTCATCACCCCATTGGAATGGTGAGAACAATGGCTTTCCCTGACAGCAAGTGTCTTTGGACTTAATGAATACACTGGCCTCACTTCTGATGTTGAGCTTGACTTGTGGGAGGGGCAAGGGTCATCAAACTTTCCTCCACCTAGGGCTGATAGGCTCTCCCTATAAGAATAGGGCTGCACTAGTCTGACTATAGCAATGGTTCCCAAATTCTAGTGTGCATCAGAATTACCTGGAGGGCTTGTTAAGACACAGATTGCTGGGCCTGCTCCCTAGAGGTTCTGACTGTAAGTGTGCAGTGGAATTGAGAATTTACATTTCGAACAAGTTCCCAGGTGATGCTGATGCCTCTGGTCTATAGTTGGGGGCTGGGGGGTGGGTCAGCCTTAGCCACCCTCATCTCTCCAGGAACAGAGTTGTTGCAAACATTAGATGTACCTCCACCCATTTATAAGACCTTCAAAAGGGCTTGTGAGTGTAGCATACGTAAGTCCTCATTAATGGTTGGGCGCATTACTGCTGGAACAGTTACCAGCTGCCCACAGCCGTTGTCTGAGGCTGAGAGGAGAGGCAAGAACAGCCCCTGGGGCTCAGAGGACTGGACCAAGGACCCAGACATCTACTACATCTCACTCAGCTCCCAAAGTAACCACCTCGGACCACGCCACTATCATCTGTTTCCCTGCACATGGCTGGGGGCTGGAGAGCAGTTTCTAGCCAACCCCTTTCTTTTTTTTTTTTTTAAAAGATGACTGGTAAGGGGATCTTAACCCTTGACTTGGTGTGGTCAGCCCCACGCTCTCCCAAGTGAGCTAACCGGCCATCCCTATATAGGGATCTGAACCCGTGGCCTTGATGTTACCAGCACCACACTCTCCCAAGTGAGCCACGGGCTGGCCCTACCAGCCTTTCTTTTGATGCCTTCTAATTCCAAAGTCATTTTGCCCACACAAAAAATGCAGCTCCTCTCCAGGGCACTTGTCCAACCATCTTCTGATTGTTCTTCCCCAGGGTATATGGTGCTGAATTTTTATATCTTTCCAGGTGCCCCAGAACTCCTCCTTCCCACTGCCGTAACTCTGCATCCTGTGTAGGATGTTGGGAGCCATGCCATTTTATTATGGTCTCACCAGCATTCTGCATTCTCAGTGGAGCCCTGGAGATAGTCCCATGTCCTTCTTCCCCCAACAACAGCGTTCCCTTCATGCCTGACACCGCCCTTTCTGTCCCTCCAGTGTTCCATGCCTTCCTGCGTCACAGCGTTCCATGTCACTTGCGCCTTTGACCATGGCCTGGAAATGCGGACTATATTAGCAGACAACGATGAGGTCAAGTTCAAGTCGTTCTGCCAGGAGCACAGTGATGGAGGCCCGCGGGGTGAGCCCACATCCGAGCCCGTGGAGCCTAGCCAGGCCGGCGAGGATCTGGAAAAGGTGACCCTGCGGAAGCAGCGGCTGCAGCAGCTGGAGGAAGACTTCTATGAACTGGTGGAGCCAGCCGAGGTGGCCGAGCGGCTGGACCTGGCTGAGGCACTGGTTGACTTTATCTACCAGTACTGGAAGCTGAAGAGGAAAGCCAATGCCAACCAGCCATTGCTGACCCCCAAGACTGATGAGGTGGACAACCTGGCCCAGCAGGAGCAGGACATCCTCTACCGCCGCCTGAAGCTCTTTACACACCTGCGGCAGGACTTGGAAAGGGTGAGTACCCCTGCCACCCACCCACCCATCTGCCCAGTAAGCCATCCCAGGAAACTTTTCATGCCATATTCACTGCCCTGGAGCAACCAGGACTCATCGGGATTCAAACTGAGCTCTGGTCCGTACCAGCCCTACTTTGGGGGCTGGCCAAAGGGCTGAGGCTTCCAGGTCTCGGGGGTGACAGGTACTTAACAGAACAGAGAAGTATCCAGCTCTTGAGTCTCCAAAACCCTTTTGTCCCCCACCAAAAGGTGGGGGCCCTGCCAAGGTCATGAGGCTGAGGCACACCAGAGCTGGGCAAGGACCCAGGCTTCTGACACCTAGTCGCCTCTGGCTCCATTCCTGGCTCCTGTGGCCTTGCCTGGTCCTAACGTGGGCTTCTGTTTAGAAATTGCAGCAGGGGAAGAATTGGGGCATCAAGTGCCAGGATTGTTGCATGAGTCAAACAAGCATGTGCTGGGTCAGGGCAGGTAGACAGGTATGAATGAGGCTCCCATGGGGTGCTCAGCAGAGAGAACAGAGGTGTGAGGGTGGGCTTGAGCAGCTGCGGCAGCCTGTGTGGAGCAGAACAATGAGGCTGGAGGTCCCAGGAGGTCACTTGAGGCTGGATTGGTGGACCAGAGTGTCTGGAAGCTGCAGAAGCGTTTTAAGCAGGGACTATCCTACAGTGTGGACACTGCCCTGGAGGAGTCAGGGGTTGGCTAGAAACTGCTCTCCAGCCCCCAGCCATGTGCAGGGAAACAGATGATAGTGGCATGGTCCGAGGTGGTTACTTTGGGAGCTGAGTGAGATGTAGTAGATGTCTGGGTCCTTGGTCCAGTCCTCTGAGCCCCAGGGGCTGTTCTTGCCTCTCCTCTCTGAAATATTAAGCTCTAGGTTTCTGCAGCATGATGGATCATATCACTGTGTCCTCCATAGGTACAGACACAAATGCTTACCCCCTCCACAGGCCCTGTTACGAAACAGCCCGGGTTGGGAGCATTGAAGAGCTTTGTGTAACCTGAGGCAGCTGCTTTTCTTATCTACATCTCAGTGGGCAAGTCTAAAATGGGGGGAGCATGTCGGCAGGTGTAACTTCCCCGCTCCCCTCGACCCCCACTCCCCTGTCCTGAGGCCTGGTCAATGACGTTATGCAACTAGGGAGGGAGCTTACTGCCTGGCAACCAGCCTCTTTCCAGGTCAGAAGCGAAGAGATGGTGGTGGGAGGGACGAAATGTTCCCTGGCTCCAGTCCCGGCAGAGGGCAAGGCCACCTATGTTGCAGCCACCACTTCCTGGGCAGTCCAGCCTTCTCTTGACCTCCCTGGTCTGTGCTGATCAGCTCACGGGTCTTGCCCTGACTAGGCTGTTTGGGAACGTCACGGGACAGACTCATTTATGTAGTCATCATCCTGGGAAAAGAGACATGAAGAAGATCCTCCCAGTCCTGTCAAGCAGATGAGGAAACGGGGGCTCAGAGAGATAAAGTGATAGGAAGCCTTAGAGGAACCTTTTTTCCTAGGTTTTGAGCTTGAATTTGGAGCTGAATGTGGGAGGAGAGCTGGGGTCAGGAAAACAGATGATGGTTTATTCTCTATTCTTTAAATTTCCTGGGCAAAAGCATCCCTTTATAAGTCCCCCAACTTGCTGACCCAGTGTCAGCTGGTACAGGTGGGGCCAGGGGCTGAGGTTGGCAAGGGCTGGGATGCCAGCAAGTCTGCTGGGGCAGACTCTGTGGTTCCAGAGCTGCCCTTCTGTAGGGAACCATCCCACTCATCCTCCAGGGAGAAGAAGCAGGGCCAGCTTGGAAGTCTGCACCTTCTTTTCAACTTTGAAGTCCGGCTCAGGAGGGCCCTGTCAAAGTGCTGTTTCCCCAGCAGCCACCGAGCTGTGCTGGCGGGCAGCAGCTGAGGGCAGGGCTGAGGAGAGGAAGTGTCAGAGACAGTGATGAGCCAGGTTGACCCCCCTCGGTGTCCCAGACTTCAGGCCTTTCACAGCCACGTGCTGGTGACTTGAGTGAATGAACAGTGTCGAGAGCTCCACTGTGTGGAAGGCTTTCCACAAAGACCCATGGCAGTTGGTGGCCTGGCCAATAGGCCTGGTCTCCAACTGTGGCCCAGTGTCAATGGCCAAGAGCGTCTAGTCTATGACCGGGCACTAAGCCAGCTTGGGCTTGGAGCCATCGGGGAGGTAGGCTGGGGTTTGAGATGAAGACCTTGGGTGGCCTGGGTTTACATCCACTTCCAGCACTTCCCAGTTCTGTGCCTTCCTTGTTTCAGTTTCCACTTCTCAGAGTTTCAGTTTCTTTGTCTGTAAAATGGGAGTAAGGGTCACACTGACTTTGGGGCTGCAGCGAGGACAGGAGCCTAGCACATTGTACCCTGCTGTTGGCTCTGCTTGTTGTTACTGTTCTGGCCCCACAAGCAGTTTGGTTCTTACAAGGAGGGAGGCTCCAAACCTTTCCCCTGAGGGCGGGCTTGCCCGAGGAACAGGGCCTGGGAACCACAGCATCCTCCCTGATTGACTTGCCCCCCGCATGGCCAGGCAGGGGTTTTGCTGAGAGAAGCAGGAGCCAGGGTGGCCACCAGCATGATATCCCATTTTATGGTCAGCACAATAGATGTGCTTTCCTAAGATGACAGCCGTAGGCCCCGTAGCAGGCAGCTCGGGAAGGCATGGCTACTGCAGCCTCCCAGGGTTATTCACAGCTGACGGAAAAATTGCGGCAGTGACGACCAGTCTGGTGAACACTGGCTGGTGTCCCCTAGCAACCGCACTGGCAGTCGGGCTGTGCAGGGACTTGCTGCCTATGGCTCTGGATCTCGTTACCAGGAGCTAATTTGAGAGCCTGACCTGGCCTGACAGGGAGGCTGGGGGTGTGGGGGGCTGGCGGCAGCTCTTAGACACACACCTGCCCAAAGCATGGACATGTGGGAACTTCCCAAGGCCTCGCTTCTGCTGCTTCTCCCAGGGAGAGAAAGGCTCAGCAGGAAGTGAGTCCTGCCGTCTTCTGACACTTGCCACCTGCCTCCTTGTCACTTGGTCACATCCTGTTTACTCTGTCCTCAGTGTCTGGATTGTGGTCCCCTTGGCCCCCAACCAAAACCTGCCTTGTTCTAGGCAGCTCCAGCCTCCAGACCTCTCAGCTCCTCAGCCCCCATACCTCCCATTTCCAGGGCTCCTCCAACCCATTAACCCTCCTGCCCCACCCTGACCTAGTCACTCCCTTGAACTGCTCCCAGGTCAGTAACCCAGAAATCTCCAAATCCTCCACCTTGACCACAGTTGTCTCCACTCTTCCCTGTCCTATTTTTTTCACTGTTGCCCTCTGTTCAACATTAGCTCACTGCCCTTGCCTTGCCTCTTTACTGGGCTCAAACCCCAACCACTCTGCCCAAGGGCTGTCAAGCCGACCAGAAGACATCGCACAGCAGTGAGTACCCCAGGTACCTGCCAGCCCTGCCACATGCGAGGCTTCCCCGACCCCTGCTCCTCCTCCCTCAGGGCTCCCCTTTCTCTTTACAGCCAGCCCCACCTCCTGTTGCTCAGAGCAGAGTCCTCTTACTGCTGGATCTATTCTCTGTCCTTCCCTCCCGTCCCCCGCCCTGAGACCCTCCACTTCCCATACCCTGCAGCACGGGACTCTGTCTTTTCTTTATCCCTTCTGCAGGTCCTTTTCCACCAGCATTTGAATCTATTTAACCCTCTCTCATCTTCAAAAGCAAATCCTCCCTCCCCATCTCTCTTTCATTGTAACTTCCTGCACTCCATCCCCATCTCTCCTTTCCTGTCATCCCTCATGGTATTTGCTTCCTGGCTGCTTCTCACTGTGGCCAGGCTTCCACCACCACCACATCCCCTAGCATCCCACCTGGGCCACCACCAGCCTCCACCTCCCCCTTCTCTATTCTCACAGCCCTCTCAGCAGTGGGCCACAGTCCAACCTGCCCTTGGTCTTGAATTACTTTTCCTGTGGATGCACTGACCAGGTCCCTCTTGATGTCCTGGTTCCCCTGCTCCCAGTGATCATCCACCACACTCACCTGACCTCTCACTGTCAGGGCTGGAGACCCCAAGCACCACCATCCTACACATCTGCTCCACAGTGTTGTCCTGCATCAGGGGCTGGCTCCAGCCCACATCCTCTTGCTGAGCTCTAGATCTGCAGGTCCCCTCCGATGACCACCAGGCATCTCGTGTCCAGTGCACCTACTTCTGCCACAACCTCCGCCGTCTCCATGAATGTCATTCTAGCTCGAGACACCGAGCTGGGAATCCTCCCTGCTCCTCCTTCTCAGCTCCACATCCAGGCTCTCTCTGCAAAACTTGTTAATATCAAAACAGCTTCAGGGCCAGCCTGCGGCTCACTTGGGAGAGTGTGGTGCTGATAACACCAAGGCCACGTGTTCGGATCCCTATATAGGGATGGCCAGTTAGCTTATTTGGGAGAGCGTGGTGCTGACAACACCAAGTCAAAGGTTAAGATCCCCTTACTGGTCATCTTTTAAAAAACAAAAACAAAAAAATTATCAAAACAGCTTCATCAAAATGGAAAACATGATAACATGTTTGTTATCAATCCCTGACCTGGTTATTGAGGACTTTTCTACTTGATTCATTTTTGTGCTGTGTTATTTTTTTTAATGAGAATGTTTTATCTTTATAATCGGGAAAAAATGAAAAATGAAAATGAAAAAAAAAATAATGAAAATGTAAGGCACTTCTAAGGTGAGGTCTATACTTTGTCCCCAAATGCTATCATGGTGAAGGAATTGTACAACATTCAGTAAAATGTAGCTATGTTACTAGAGTCTCAGGAGAAATTAGGAAAGTAGTTGATTTCAGGGTGAAGCGGAAATGAGGGATCAAGAGGTCACATTGTAACCAGTGTACCAACCAAAGAATGTTGGTATTTTTACAGAGGGAAACATTCCTATCTTATGTATCAAGAATCTCCAGGCAGGACTGATTGTGTAATATGCCTTTTGCAGTAAAAAAAAGATTGAGCAGATACCTCTAATATGTTGCATTTTTAGTATCTCATTTATATTATCACTGCATATTATAAAACAAACATCAGAATTTCTAACAGGCTCAGAACAAAGTACCAGGAGAAGTCCTAACACTTTGTCCCTAATCTGCGGTGGATTGTCTGACTCATATCCTATACACCTCACTTTACAGGCCCCTGGCCTAGGGCAGTGGTTCTCGGATTCCACAGTGCTATATAAAATGTATATCTGAGAGTTCCCCCACCAGAGAGTTTGCTGTGCCTCAAGCCTGGGAACCAGCCACCCCCGTGATGTTGATGCCAGGAATTGATTTGGATGTGCCTTGAGAAGCCTTGCTCCAGAGTTTCTACTGAAAGACCAAAATAACTGCATCTTCCTTTTAGTAGGAAGTAATTAAGTACGACTCTGGGTTCTTTTGGGGAGAAATTGCAACTGGGAGCCTCACCTCATCTGGTTCCTCACTTTTTGAGGGGGGAGTAAACCCCAGGATGGTATGTTTTAGAAATTTTTTAAAAGCTGGACCTTGACTGATTGTTTTTAGACCTCCAAATTAGCCATGATCCATCCCCTTCTCTTCATCCCCACCATCCCCATTCCCTGTAGTCCATGTGGCTGCTAGAAAGGTAACAGTCCAGAGTGTGGAGAAGAGAATAATATTGGGCTGCTGAGATACACTGGACAGGGAAGGCCTTCGAGGGTGACATTTGAGCCAACACCTGAAGGACAAGGTCCAGCCATGGGAAGGCGGGTGAAGAGCATTCCAGACCAAGAGTTAAACATGGACCAGGGCCCCAGGGCAGAAGTGGGCTGGACACAGAAGGGGTCTGGATGACTACAGGATGTGAGCTGTGCAGGGATGGTGGGAGGTCAGATTGGGCATGGCTTTGGGCTGTGGCTGGTAAGTGTGATGAGAAGGAAGCTCTAGGCTGGCCACTTAGCTCACTTGGTTAGAGTGTGGTGCTGATAAAACCAAGGTCAAGAGTTCAGATATCCTTACCAGCCAGCTGCCAAAAAAAAAAGGGAAGGAACTCTATAAGTTTCCTAGGGCTACCCTGACAAAGTACCACCAACTACATGGCTTTAAATAACAGAGATTTAGTCTTACAGTTCTGGAGGGTAGAAGTCCACAATTGAGGTGGCAGCAGGGTTGGTTCCTCCTGAAGACCCTGAGAGAGAATGTGTTCATGCCTCTGTCCTAGATTCTGGTTTACCAGAAGTCCTTGGCGTTCGTGGCTTATAGTCACTTCAGTCTCTGCCTCTGCCATCACATGGTGCTCCTCTTATATGTCTCTGTGTCCCTATGTCTTCATATGGCCTTTTGTTAAGGACACCAGTCATACTAGATTAAGGGCCCACCCTAATCCATTATGACCTCAGTTTGACTAATTACGTCCACAGAAATCTTATTTCCAAGGTCACATTCTGAGGTTCCTGGTAGACTTGAATTTTGGGGGAACAATATTCAACCCAGTACAGAAGCCACTGGGCGTTTTAAGAGGAGGAGGGAAGTGGTCAGATTTCCATTTCAAGAAGATTTCTCTGAGATAGCCGACGGGTCAGGGTGGCCCACTGTCCACGTGAGAGATGGTGGGGGTTGACTAGGAGGTGGAAGAAGCTGATGGGAAGGAATCTCATTCACAAGGAAAGACTGACGGACGTAAGATGGATCAGCTGTGGGTGCAGGTGAAGACGAGGGGTCATGAAGGTGACTGCCAGATGTCAGCACTTACCACTCTGCCAGAATCCCTTTGGGGCTCCCCTTGGCCTCAAAGCCTGCTCCTTCCTGCTTGGCCAGCCTGGCCTCTACTCAGTGCTCCCTTGACCCTCTGGCCACAGGCCTGGCTCTGCGTGCCAGAATCCCTTTGGGGCTCCCCTTGGCCTCAAAGCCTGCTCCTTCCTGCTTGGCCAGCCGGGCCTCTACTCAGTGCTCCCTTGACCCTCTGGCCACAGGCCTGGCTCTGCGTCTCCCCCACCTGCTTTCTCTGAATCCCTTGTCCCCAAGCTATGCCCCCTCTGTATGATCACCTCCCACTCAGCCTAGCCATCCCTTGCTTGGTCCAGGAAGCCTTGCTCACTGCCCCCGAGGCTGGGTTGGCTGCCTGGTCCTGTCAGTACTTGGTCAGCGTCTGTCTGCCCTGTTGGGTGGCAAGCCCTGAGAAGAAAGGGATAGCAATGGCATTGCTCATTGGTGAACCCAGGACGCCACACAACAGAGTTCACAGGGGCAGTGCTTAGGGGCATGTGGGGGGCAGGGTTGGTTGCAGGCTGGTCCTGGAGAAGTCCAAGATTTGAGAGGAAGTTGGTCCATGCCAGTAGGCCAGAGCAAAGGCTCACAGCCCAGGGCTGTCCCTTGGGGGAGGTGTTGGCCATGGGGATGGATAGAGCTGGGACTCAGAGGTGGGTGGAACCATGGCCCAGGTTCATAGTGCAGGGTGAGGGTGCACACCCCTGCGTGGAACGCTGGAGAGAGTCCATGTAGAGCCCATCCTGCCGAGGGCTGAGACTGGAGCAGGGCCTTCTGGGATCGCCTTCACAACTCAGCTCAGGAAGATAATGCTCGTACCCGGCAGAGAGGTCTGATCAGGGCCACCCTCAGGCCAGGAGAAATGGTGATCATGCTTACAGGAGGGGTTCTGAAACTGAAGGTTACCCCCAGGCAGCTTAAGGACATGAAAACTGAACTCAGCCTTGAAGACAGAACCTAACTGGAGACAGAGCCACTAGCCTCAGCTGGAAAGATCCTAGTGGGAGCCAGGATTCAAGCTCAGCAGCTTTGGCCAGATCTCCCTGCTGCTGGAGGCTCTACCCTGAGCTGAAGATGACACCAGACCAAAGAAGTGTCTCAAGGGAGGGAGCCTGGTCTTGGCCCCAGAAGGGTGACCTACCGTGAGAGCAGCGGGTGAGGGGTGGAATACTGTAGTTAGGTGCCAGGTGGGCAGGCAGCCACATAGTTCATCCTTCATGTGCTTCCAGACCATCTGCAGGATGGGTCCATGTCCCACAGGCTAAGCAGGCTGGTCTCCAACGCTCTAATGGGCTCTTCCCAGATGGCCTAAGGGAGTCACAGAGGCCTCTGCCAAGGAGTTCTGTACTTGTGGCTGAGTGAATGTGGCCATGTGAGTGTAGGAGCATTGGCCATAGCAGCATAGGCCCGGCTTAGGTCCCAACGCAGCAGGTGGACATGGGTCAGCTGCAGGCGGGCACAGGTGGGTTAGGACTGTCTGTCTGCTCAAAGCTATCCTGCTGGAGTTCTCTCTAGCTCTGGGTACTGGGGCCATTTATGGCTCAGGACAGGTGTTGGTTTTTGCCGTGGTGCTTGTGTCTGAAGTTTCTTTGCTGGGAAAGACAGGCCTTGGACAGGAGGCAGAGGGATGAACTTGGTGACCTGGTGAGACCCTGATGAGCCTTGGGGTGCTGTGGATAAAGAGGAGGCAATCATGTTGGAAGGGCCTTGGGAGGCAGTGTGGTTGACTTGGCCCAGGAGTTAAGAACCAAAAGAGAAAGGTGGAGTTGTCAGGCTGAGCTGACCAGATGCTCTCCCTGCCTGCCCAGGCTCAGCCAGGAGCCACAGGGCCAAGGCTTTGCTTGACCCCATGTTTCGGGTCTGAGCCATGTGGCACAGGGCTGCGGATGCACTCAGTGTCTGGGAATTGATTCCCAGATGTTCTGGGCAGGACAGGCAGTGCTGGTAATCTGTGCTCCGGGCACTGCCTTCACCAGCCGCAAGGCCCCCACAGTAGGAAATCTGGGGTGGTTGCTGAGAGTAAGATGGAAAATCTCTCTTGTGTTTTCTCAGGTTAGAAATCTGTGCTACATGGTGACAAGGCGCGAGAGAACGAAACACGCCATCTGCAAACTCCAGGAGCAGATATTCCACCTGCAGATGAAACTTATTGAACAGGATCTATGTCGAGGTAGGCGCTTTCCCTGCCCACCGCCAGCCACCTCTGTGTCACTCCCTTAAGAGACTGGGTCTCAAGGAGGGTGTGTCTTTGGGGCCTGGTAGGGCATGTGTGCTGGGCCAGGGGCCACTGGTCCCCTCCCCTGTCTTCCACTATCCAGTTAGTAGGTCCAGATGTGGCCTGCTAGAGTCCTGTTAGTGTGTTGGTAGGCAGGAAACCAGAGGTTAGTGTGGCCTGCCTGCCCTCAGGGAGCTTTCTGGTTCACTGGGCCACAGCAGTTTGGCAGCAATTACGTGCAGACAGGTCAGATCACAAGTCCTAGTGGCTTTGTGCTGGTGCTTAGGCAGGAGGGGACAGAAGCTGGCAAGCTGCCCTGAACCCTGCTGTGCCTGGGAGTCAATTCTGAAGAAGGTAACTGCCCCAGAGTTGGGACAAGGCCTGTGTGTTCTTTCTCTCTGACCCTGTGTCAGCAGTGTTTTATTTTGTTTTCTTATTCTCTTGCCTTCACATGCATTTAACAGATCTGGAAATCAAAGGCCAAAGAAGCTCTGACATTGATCTTATCTGTTAATTGTGGATATTGCCAGATGTAGTGCCCTTCCAGAGTGTATACATGTTAAGAAGGGCAATGTTTAACCTCCCAAAAATCTTGCTCTGATATTGAATTTACATGCTGCAGAAATAGCTGAATGGGGAGAGGTCTTGAGCCAGAGGTGGCTGCTGCCATTTCAGCCTCTGGGTCAGTCTGGGCCTAGAGAGAAGGGAAGAGAGCTACTGGGTCTCTTAGCTGAATGGGGAGAGGTCTTGAGCCAGAGGTGGCTGCTGCCATTTCAGCCTCTGGGTCAGACTGGGCCTAGAGAGAAGGGAAGAGAGCTACTGGGTCTCCATTGGAGCCAGTGACCAAGGACCTGTACTGCCCGCACCTGCCTGAGAGCTGAGCTGCTTCAATAGTGCTTAGGGATCACCACCCACTCTGGCCCAAGAAACCAGCATTGCCAAATATAGGCACTGGGTCAGGGCAGGTCATGGCCATACAGAACTCACCATGTATCCAAAGACTGGCAGCTTCCTGGCTGCTGGAGCTTCCCAGGCTCCCCCTCTTCTGTTTATTCATTCAGCAAGCACTGCCTGAGCCTGGTTCCTGCCCTTGTGGAGCTCCCAATTTGGAGAGATAAAGAAAGCAGTGCCCCAGGGGCTGTAGTTGGTGCCAGTATAGGGACAGAGGTATCAGAGATGTCTTCATGGAAACACTGATGCTGGAGTGACATCTCAGGCTACCTAGCACTTGGCTGTGGCCACACATCCAGCTACAGAAGAAGCCCACACAAGGCACCCATAGTTGAGGAAACAGAGTGGCAAGACCTGAGCAGTGCCCTCAGGCAGAGGACTCCAGAAACATGGTCAAGAGCCTGGACGGTCCGCATCCCCACACTGGGTCTGGGGACATTTGCAGCTCCTTGTCCTGAGTGGCAACAACAGGCAGCCCTTTGTTCAGGGCAGGGCATTTGGAGAGAAGACTGGTTTGCCTCTGCCCGAAGCTGATGCTCACACTGTTGTGATACTTGACTTGTAGGGTGGGACATGGGCTACCAGTGTATTGCCAAGGCCTGTCTGGCCTGGGGGCTGGAGTAGGATTCCCGGTGGAGGTGGTATTTGGGCTGAGCACTGAACTGAGTGAAGGCTAGAGCAAAGAAACAAAGTACTAGGAAACCTGGAGGCCAGAGCATGTCTTAGTAGAGCAACTGGAAGGAAGCTGGAATGGCTGCAACTAGTCAGACGGAAGACGCCTAAAGTGAGGCTGAGGGGTAACCAGGGTCAGGAGTGCAAGGTCTCGGGGCCTGGGGAAGCAGCTCAGACTGTCCTGAGGGCAGTGAGGAGCCTCAGGAGCTTCCCTCCAAAGTACCTAAGCATTGGTCCGACATTACAGATGAGGAGACTGAGGCCTGGCCTGAGGTTGCACAGGGAACTAACAGCAGACCTGGGAAAACTCCCACAGCTGGGGCCACAATTCTTGACCTTCTCTTAAACCCTCGTTCAAGAAGCCATCCTCCCTCTGACTGAGAAGCTGGGGAGGATTCCTGGCTGCTGGGCCTCCCCCTCCACCTGTCCCTCCGCTGCTCCCTAGACTGGTGGTCAGTGACGGAAAGGATATGAGGGCCAGGTGTGCACCCCAAATCCCCTATCTACCACCCAACCTTGAAAGCCAACCAGGAGACCATGGCCGGAGATGTGCTCAAAGGGTCTGACCACAGTGTCAGGACTGGCACCCAAGCCTCCTGACCCCTCAGATTAGTATTCTTTCCACCTCTGTGTCCAGCTCCTCAGCCTGGCATTCAAGGCCCTCCCCTGTCCAGACTCGCGTCCAGCCTTCCCTCCCACCCACCAGGACTCTATCATAGGCCTATAGGTCATGTAGGTCAGACCACTGTCCAGGTCCCACAGTGGCCTGTCCTCGTGGTCCTGTGCCCATCCCGAGCCCCTAGGGGCAGTAGTGGGCAGTTCCCCAACCCTCTCACACCAGCTGCCCCAACTCGTGGTGCTCCCAGGACCCCTAGCTCCATCCCTGGCGCTGTGGAGGCTGAGCACTATGTGATTGAGGACTTGGGCTGCTCAGGGTAACCGTCTCCCCACTTCTCTTGTTTTCCCTGATACAGAGCGGTCTGGGAGGAGAGCAAAAGGCAAGAAGAGCGACTCAAAAAGGAAAGGCCACGAGGGCCCCAAGGACAGCCCTGAGAAGAAAGAGAAAGTGAAGGCGGGGCCCGACTCAGTCCTGGGGCAGCTGGGTGAGTGAGGGGCCACACTGGCCCAGCAGCCATGGCCAGGCTCATACTGCCAACCCCTTGCAGACCCACCCCACCCCACCCCACGTAAGCCAGCTGCAGAGTGGGAGACTTGAGTGTCCATGTCTGTCCTTGCCCAGGTGCTCACACCTCCCATCCACGAAGGAGATGGGTCGCAGAGAAATGGCTCTTTTGTAGAGCTGGATGGAGGCTGGGCCCAGCCCGCTCAGGAACTGCCCACCCATTCCCCTGGCTGGGATCCTGGGTGCTAGATTTTCCCAGAGGCCCCATGCTGGGAGGGGAGGATCTGCCAGAAATCTTCATCCCTGTCCCACTCTTCCAGAATCCTCTCAAATGGGCCATTCCCTTAACACAAGTAAAATTTCCTGGAGCCACCCAGAGGACCCAGAGGGCTGGCAGCAGGTCCTGGCCCTGCCACCATCTTCATTGTCTCAGGCCTCCTTCCTGCCTACTAGGCACAGAAGCCCTTGAGGGGCCCCCAGCTTTGGGCTCTGACCCCCAGGATGTCTTCGCGGGGAGCAGGATGGAATCCCCTTCCAGACCCTTCACCTCTGGCAAAGAAGCCCCAGGTCATCTTTTGTGTTCCTCAGTCTCAAGAAGGGGACAACTTGGGTGTCTCATGGGAGGCTCAGTCTCACCAGCTGCCCTCTCCCAAGACCTCAGTAAAGCAGGGAGGGCTCAAAGCTTGAGCTGGACCTGACATTCAATTGGTACCTCCTACCCAGATACACCTTGCTACTTGGGTTCTTTGCCTGGAAGCTCTGGGAGGCAACGCTCATGAAAAATCCAGCGCCCTCTGGTGGCCTGAGGGCATTTTCCTCTATTCCTCCCAGGCCTCACCAGAGGGGTGGTAGGCAGGGCTGCTTTATGGGGACACAACCTGTGCAGTTGGACAGGGCCCCCGTGCTTGGTTTAGTGCTCTGCTGTTGCCACCTTGAAATTCTTGTTAATATTTGAACAAGGAGGCCACATTTCATTTTGTGCTCCATTCCACAAATTAATGAAGCCAGTCCTGGGGGTGGGACATCCTTCTGGGCAGAAGGGCATATGGCATGGGCCGTACTCTTTGGCAGCGCTGACAGGAGGGATGGACAAAACAAGATAGCTCTCCTGTGTCTAGCACAGAGGGAACGAGAGAGGAAGGCACTCAATTATGTGCTGGGAGGATCAGGGGGCTTCCTGAAAGAGGGGGACATACACACCTGCTGGTGTCTCACCTGCCTCCTCTTCTCGGCCAGGCCTGTCCACCTCGTTCCCCATCGACGGCACCTTCTTCAACAGCTGGCTGGCCCAATCGGTGCAGATCACAGCAGAGAACATGGCCATGAGTGAGTGGTCGCTGAACAATGGGCACCGCGAGGACCCCGCCCCGGGGCTGCTGTCAGAGGAGCTGCTGCAAGACGAGGAGACGCTGCTCAGCTTCATGCGGGACCCCTCGCTGCGACCTGGTGACCCTGCCAGGAAGGCCCGTGGCCGTGCCCGCTTGACTGCCAAGAAGAAACCACCACCACCACCACCACCACAGGATGGGCCCGGCTCACGGACGACTCCAGACAAACCCCCCAAGAAGCCCTGGGGCCAGGATGCAGGCAGCGGCAAGGGGGGCCAGGGGCCACCTACCAGGAAACCACCACGGCGGACGTCTTCTCACTTGCCGTCCAGCCCTACAGCTGGGGACTGTCCCATCCCAGCAGTCCCTGAAAGCCCCCCACCACTGGTCCCTGAGACCCCGGACGAGGCAGACCCAATGGCTGCTGACTCGAATGTCCAAGTGCCTGGCCCTACGGTGAGCCCTAAGCCTTTGGGCCGGCTCAGGCCACCCCGTGAGAGCAAGGTAACCCGGAGATCACCGGGTGCCAGGCCTGATGCTGGGACAGGGCCACCTCCTACTGTGGCCGAGAGGCCAAAGGTCAGCCTACACTTTGACGCTGAGACTGATGGCTACTTCTCTGATGGGGAAATGAGCGACTCAGACGTAGAGGCTGGGGACAGTGGGGTGCAGCGGGGTCCCCGGGAGGCAGGGACTGAGGAGGTGGTCCGCATGGGGGTACTGGCCTCCTAACTCACACCTACCCCTGTCCCAGGCCCTGCCCTGGTCCCCGACAAGGCCTCAGCCCAGTCTCAACTGCCATTTCCAATCTCTGCTGAGTGTCCCAGACCCTCGAGGCTGGCACACTGTTGTGGTTTTATTTTTAATATAGAGAGAGTTTCAAATTCCACACTGTTGTCTTTCCTCTGTGCTGGCCTAGGATATTAGAATTCCTTCCACGGCTCTTGCACAAGGACTATGCCAGGTCCTGTGCACCATCCCTGTCCCGGCCCACCCGGCACTGCTGGGCTCCTGGCTAGATAGAAGCAAGGGGAAAGAGCTCAGGACTCCAGCCCGCTGCCACTGCGTGACAAAGATTGTTGTTTGGGCATTATTTTCATGGCAGATGGGCCGGCCCAGGGCCTACCCCGCTTTGTCCCCAAATCCCACTGGGGTCCATTGGGGGGGTCCTGCTGCACTCTACTGGTCCCCAAGGAAGTATAAGTGATATCCAGCCAGAGTCTACTCACTGTCACAAGCACAACGAGTTTATATGAGAAAGCACTGAGGAGGTGCGGAGAGCCCGCTGGTTCCAGGGGAACCAAAAGCTGCTCCTGATCAACCCACATCATCGAGGCCTGCCTGCCCACCCCGCCACCCTCCCTTCCCTTGCTGCTCCACCCCTGCCAGCGCCCAGCCCAGTGGCTCTGGGAAGGGGTTCCCAGAATCCTTCCTGAGCTGTGCCACTTACTCAGGGGACTCCCAAACAGCAAGCCACCAGTGCAGGTGGAGGGCTGACAGGGAGGGCCAGTGCCCAGACGGGGGTGTGGGGCTCAGACCAGCCAGCTGCAGTGAATCACTCTGGGTCTCCAACTTCCTTCCTTCCTTTGGGGCCAGTCTTGGCTGAAGTCTGGTTGCTTCCAGACAGAGCGGACCAGACCAGACCGTTTGCCTTTTCAAGTTTCCTAGTCCTGCTAAGAGATGAGCTTCCTCCTTAGTTTCCTTTCGGAAACTCCTCCTTCCAACAAGCAGTGGGATCCCGGGGCCCAGGACGGGCCAGCGTTGGCCCGCTGGGGCTGTTTTAAATCTTGCTGGATGCTCCTGTTCCTCTGTCCCTCAGAGCCTTAACCCCTGTCCCGGCCGTGCCCCTCCTGTCCCCACCGCCACTGTCCTGCTTCCCTGCCCTCCCTCTAGGTCCCAGGTAGTTGCTCTGAAGAGTTTCAGTGGAGTGGCCCCAGGGTGATAGCTCAGGGAACAAACAAAAAAAGGAATTAGTGAAACATATTTTTTTTTCTTTTATGAATTACTCCTGGGTCACTTCCGCCACTGGTAAAGCCAGAACTTCTCCAACAAGAACCTTGCAAAAGTCCAGTGAATCAGTCGAATCATTCTGTGGATGCCAAAGAATACTTTGACCATAATACAGCACAGCCTGGACCTAACAACTCGTCACTTGGACTTTTTTTTAAACGGAGTTCTTTAGCAACAAAGCATAGAAACATGTTCATTGCACACACCCAAGAAGAACCCAGGCTCTTGGAAGAGGATGCTTTTCTGCTGCTGAACTGTACCCGGGTGTTGGATTTCAGATCCTGGGCTGGGCCCACTGTGAGCTTTCCTAAACTCACCCTCACAGTGGGGAAAATACTGACTGCAAAACCAGCATGGGAAGTCTTCACCATGTGGTTCTCCCCACACAAATACACAAAGAGCAAATAAGTGGGATGGGGAACAGCTTGACCTTCCCTCAACCCCGACTCCAAAACGATCAAGGTACGACAGTGGCGCTGTCATCAACACTCAATTTCATGTGAATTTTAGCAAAACAGGAAACAAAGTGACTACATTCAGAGGATCAGACATATTTGTCTAGTCCAGGTGGACCCAGCGGGAGTGGGGTGGGCTTCAAGGGTTGTGGGTGTTGGGATGGCATGAGCTACCATGTAGAGTTTAGTCTGCCTGCCCGCCTTGGTAGTAGTGACCAGTGCAGTGTCAGCATCAGCATCCCAACCCCAGTCTCTGTTTACTGCCTTTGAACAGACCTTCCATGCTTTGGGTCACCTTGGGTCACAACCTTGTCTGTGCTGGATTGCCCGGTCTGTCCCTGCAGGAAGCAAAGGGCTGAGCTTAAAGAACAACCATGGGTGGGTGCCAGGAAGGCTCAGGGTCCAGCATTCTCAGCACTTGCCCCCTTATCCCTTTGCTGCATCTGGAGCAGTGTCTGGGCTCCCTGGGGGTGGGTGGAAAATTAGGGAGAGAGGGCCGTGAGTCTGGCCTTGCCTCGGGGCAGGCCCAGCTCCACAGCCAGTCCCTGGATTGGGCAGCAGATGGGCCACCGGTGTTACTCAGCCTCTGCTCAAGCTGGCCCCTGGATTCTGGCTCCCCTGCTTCTCTACTGGTGATATGCTTTGGACTGGACTACCCCTGTGGCCTGTGGCCTGTGGCCTGCAGAGCCCAGGTGTCTGTTAGGCTGACTGGCTGGTGGGCCCCCTCACTAGCAGGCCAGGCCCTACAGCAGTCTTCACCAGGCAGCTGTCTCCACCTCCAGATATCGACCAGACTGCAAGGGAACAGGATGCCAGTCTCCCCATCCCAGGCCCTTTTTCTTCCACCCTTTTTCCAGCCTCCTGTCCACAGTGTAGAGGGCTTTGCAGCCCCCGAGACCAAGACAGGTCCCTCTTTCAGGCCAGAGGCTGAGGCAGATCTTTCTCTTGACCACATCTGCCCACACTCACTCTCCTCCTTGGGGAGGGCAAAGCTGCTCTGTAACTCATTCTGGCTATTGTCCCCCATTCTCACCAGTCCTGGTTGCCCACCACCTCCTCCCCCCATCACATGACAAAGGATAATGTGCAAGGAAAGTATTTTTATGTATCATAAATGTATTTTGAGACAAATAAGGAGAAGAAAGGTAGAAGGGTTTATTTTATTAAATGAGCTCTGACTTTGTGACAGTGTGTGAGCATTTGTAATGCAAGGACCTCAGCTTCCTTGGAGAAGCCACCCAGGTTTCCAGACGGGTGTCGGACTGTGGGTGTGTGTGTGTGCCAGGGCACGTCTCGTGTCTAGGTGCATGCATGTCTGTTTGTTGTGTAGGGGCACACTGCAGGACTTGCTGGGACAATCCTCAAGATTCAGCTGCCCAATTCTAACAAACGTTGGCAACAGCTAGACTTGGCATTTCCTTGCTCACTGCCAGATGTGGTTGACCTCCACCCGTGCCTGAAGTTTTGCAGAATGATCTGGATCCCTGTAGGCCGTTGGGGAGGCCACTCTGCCATGCCCCTGGCCCAGCTGGCCACATTGGCCAAAGAGCCAGGGCAGGAGTCTGGGACCTTTGATTGTTCTTTAAGGCACTTCCTGCCACCTTCTCCCTCAAATGCACCAACACTTTGTGCTCCACATCGGTTTGGGGGGTGGGAGGGATGATATGAATGTCACAGGAGGAGACACCTTCTGTCTTTGTTTCAAAGAAAGTGATGTGCCATTTGTTAATATACAAGAGAAATATAGAAAATATATTGAAAAGAGCAATTTTAAATTATTTTTGGCTTATGTTGCAATATTTATTTTCTTGTATTAGAAAAGATTCCTTTGTAGAGAAAAAATGTATTTTTCATTAACGCAAAGACCTATTTCTCCTTTTTGTACATTGTCCATGTTTGCAACCCTTGACGAGCAATAGAATGTATGGTCGCCTCGGTGCGGCCAGTGCCCGCTGTGCCCTGCATGATTCTGTGTTGCCGCTGCTGCATAGCTCCCAGCCCCATCCTGTCCTGCTCACTCATAGGGGCTTCTAGACCCCAGCCCCCGCCAGGGCCTGTGTCTCAAGGAGCCCTTTGCACTCCTCGTGTGTTGGCAAACGCAGTTAATAAAGCAATGTTTTCTGTGCTGGCTGGTGTGAGGCTCCATTGCCTTGGATGGTGTAGGGTGTTCTGGGGGTCCCATTCACACACCCGACTGTGGGCTCAGCAAAACAGCAAGAGTTCCTGAGTTCCCCAGGAGACTTGCTGCTGCCTCCTAAGGAATCAATAGTGATAGTCATAGTGGGTGCTCAGCACACACCAGGGGCTGTGCTTTAAGGGCAGTATTTCAGTTCATCCTCACAGTGATCACCCCTGGGATGCAGAAAGGATAAGGAATATACCCAAAGTCACACTTCTGGTAAGAGGTACAGTTCGTCTCAAAGGCAGGACTGCTGCCCTGGGAGGAGCCTCCGGGGTATGTCGCTAAAACAGCAAACGTTTTTGCCTAGGTTTGTTTTTCATTTGTTATTTACTGAGCATCTACTCCCCCGCCCTGGGGCAGCTCACACTCCAGTGGGAACACAGACAATGAGGGAACTGTGGTAATTACTACAGAGGCCTGGGCTGGGCTTGGGGCAGGGAAGTTCAGGAAGGGTTTCTCTGAGGAAGTGATGGCATTCATTCATTTATTCTTTCATTCAACAATTAGTCAGTTGACCATATGCCTCACTCTGCCCATGTGCTGTGCGTATCACCACGCCCTGCCTCTGTACAGCCTCCAGGCAGTGGAGACCTACACAATAAATAGTTGCTAGCTGTATTATTCTGTTTAGGTTGCTTATAACAAAATAATTTGAACTGGATAATTTATAAAGACAAATGAGATTTATTGCTTACCGTTTCTGACGGCCTACACAATAAATAGTTGCTAGCTGTATTATTCTGTTTAGGTTGCTTATAACAAAATAATTGGAACTGGATAATTTATAAAGACAAATGAGATTTATTGCTTACCGTTTCTGACGGTGGGAAGTCCAAAGTCCATCTGGTAATGGTGACAGTGACCCAGGGGTCTCACATTGCAAGATGGTGGAAGCAGAGAGAGCAAAAGACAGACTCTCCTCTTCTTAAGCCCTCAGAACCACTCCCCTGACCACCATTTTTTTTTTTCCCCTTTTTGTGTTTTTTTACTGACCGGTAACGGGATCGCCAGTGAGCGGGAACTGGTCTCCACATGGGATCCGAACCCTCGGCAGGAGCGCCGCCGGCGCACTCTCCAGTGCGCCACCGGGCCGGCCCTGACCACCATTTTTAATCCATTCACTACTGCATGGTCCTACAATCCAATCACCTCTTCAAGTCCACCTTTCAATTACCATAATAGGATTTCCCACCCTCTTAGCAGTGGGGGCAGGGCTAAGTTTCTAATACATAAAACTTGGGGGACACAATTCAAGCTTCAGTGAGTTTTGGGGGTACATAATTCAATCCACTACATTAGCCCAAGGGGAGCTGCATAGGAGGGTGGGATGAAGAGCATTCCTGGCAAAGGGCTCAGCATGTGCAAAGATTCACCAAACTCTATCATGGAAGGGTCTTGAGCCTCCTCTGAGGGCCCAAAGGAAGGCTGTGTGGAAAAAAGGGTAAACTGGGACTCAAGGAATCTAGCTTCTGGGGCCACTGACTTAGTTGTTTTCCACAGAGGATTGGTGCAATAGACGGTAGGTCCCCAAGAGTTCCTCCAGATCAAAGTTCTGGGGGGTCTGCAGTGCCCAAGGAGTTAGAAATAAAGCTCGGTGGAGGGGTGCTCCCTAAATGCCTGTGGAGGGAGGGAGGCCTCCCTCACTGATGGGCCACATCTCTGCTGGGTGGCCAGGGAACCCTAATGGGACTATGGGTGTCCTCTCAGGGCACCAACCCCAGCCATCTGGCAGCTCAACTGTGAGTGGGAAGGGCTCAGTGTCCTGAACCATGAAGTCAGCGGGGGTGCTGGCAGGAAATCAATGCTGGGGCTGACGAGGCTGTGGCAAGGGTCTGTCAGCTCCACGGGCCCACCACCCTGGGCACTGCACCTGAGCCTCCCTCTTCCCAAAGCAAGGCCACACCTGCAAAACTGACCCAGCTGATAAATGTGGGACAGGAGGGCTCACGGGTCCTATGGGTCTGAGGCAACACTGAGTAGAAATACAGTGCAAATGACATATGTAATTCTGGTAGCCACATTTTTAAAAAGTAAAAAAACAGGTAAAATGAATTTTAATAATATATTTTCTTTAACGCATCATATCTGAAATACAATCATTTAAACATGATATCAGGGCCGGCTGGATAGCTCTGTTGGTTAAAAGTGTGGTGCTGACAACACCAATGTCCAGGGTTCAATCCTTGTACCAACCAGCCACCGAAAAAAAGAAACATAAAATCATATAAAATAACTATTAATGAGATAGTTCACTTTTTTTTTCAGTCTAGTATTTTGTCCTGCTTATATCACATCTCAGTTTGTCCTAGCCACATTTCAAGTGCTAAATAGCCACCACATGTGGCTAGAAGCTATCATACTGGCCAGGGCAGCCCTAGAGGCCCTCAGCTTTCCCCTGAGTTGCCTGGGATTCACCCAGGCTCCTATGGAGTAAGGAACAGACAGCTGTGAGGTCCCTCTGACCCCCTTCCACCGAGGAGACAGGAGGCTGAGGAGCAAGCCTAGCCTTACCTTCCCAGTCCAAGTTTCTCTAGGATCACTTCCCACACCTGTTCAAGTCCACGTGGCAGCTTTAGGGCAGGGGTCTCACATCTGATTGGTGCTCCTAGGCCTTCTTCCCTACTGCTGTCTCTGATGTCCCTTCCCCATGAGAGCCTCCAGGACAGGACAGCAGGAGTGTGGGCCTGACCTGGTCACAGTTCCCCCATGGCAGGCCAGTTCTCTTCCAGCCAGGACTGGCAGCCAGTGGCATAGGGATCTGAGGGAGGCCACGTGGGACATCTCAGAGAGGGGAGTGTCACCCATCCGTCCTTCATTCTTGCATGCACTGATTCAGCACTCTGAGCACCTGCTGTGGGGCCCTGAGGATGCAGTGGTGACCACATATCCCTCCAGAGAGGCCAGGCCACAGTGGGAGACAGACTTCATTCAGATAATCACAAGAGAGTATAAATCAGGGGGGTGAGGGAGGTCTCCTGTGCCCTCCCTGAAGTACCTTATTCTCTCTCAATTCCTACAAGGTAGTGTCTGGGGCGCCACCTGCTCCCTGCCAGGCCCCAGCCCAGATGCATCCAGCTCAGGGGCCTCAAGGCCCCTGCATTCCCCAGTCACAGAGCTCCGGCCTTCCTCCTCCTTTGTCCTTCCTGAGGCTCCTACACACCAGCACCTCCCCTTTGCCAGCCAGGGCTGAGAACGGACAAGACACCTCCTGGGAGAATAAGCAGGCTGAGGCCTGCTGGGTGCCCAGCCTGGGTGGGGTGGGGAGGCCAAGGAGACCCAGGGCCTGCCAAAGAAAGGAGGGAAGTGAACAGTGGGTCGGAGAGGGAATGCTGGGTCCTCCCAGAGCTGGCCTCAGTCCCTCTTATTTATTACAGCCTCTGTCTGTGCCCAGAGAGGCCAGAGGAGGCTGCATGGGCACCTTTTCTTGGAGACGAAGGTTCCAGGACTCGAAGAGGTGCCTGTGACCCACACTGGGAAATGCAGGTTGCTCAAAGTGGTCCCACAATGACCTTCCCCTTCCCAGAAGACCCACACATTTCAGCCTCACACGGCCAGGCTTTTGAGGAGGTCCACAAAGGCCAGCTCCTTCACACTGTGAAAGCCAAGCCCCCAGCTGCCTCTGGGTGTGTCTTCCCCAGACACCCACTCTTCATTCCTCTGATGAGAGACACAGGCAGAGGGACCGGGGGCTTCGTGATCATCATTTGGGGGTTCCCTGATAAGAGGCCAAAAGGCCCTACAATTTTTTAAAAGAGAATAGTTTAAAAAGCGGGGGGGGGGGGGGGGCGGT